AGGCCACCGGGAATTGTCCCGGTTCTCCCGATGGCAAGACACGCAGAACGTGCAGGATTCATATATTGTCTTTTTGCGGCTTAATATTCACAGACACTAGTCCATATCGCGTTTTGATTCAAGTGTACTGACCTACTTTTTATTTATTCATCCAAAATGTGGCATATTCCGTCGGCGTTAGGCTATAGAAATTCCATTTTTATGACTGGATTCTACGAACCAGTCTGTTTTTTCCGCATCGTGGAATTATAGGGCCGTATGTCTCAGAGTAATCAGTGCAATTTGGGAAAGAAATCAATTAAATCTGTATATGGATGTGTGTAAATATTCAAATGCAATCCCCTTTGTAATCGTTAACATTTTCATAACTGTAATTTAATTACACATTTTTCTTAGTAACTGTAACTGATTACAGTTACATTTATTTTGTAATTAAATAACGTAACGCCGTTACATGTAACTAGTTACTCCCCAACACTGATTTTAACTCTACCTCCATTTAGAGTCCGGGTGCTAAATAATGATTTAATGAAATCATAATCAATAATTGTGTTTTAAACTGATGTGCAAGTATATGGATGTGTGTAAATATTCAAATGCAATCCCCTTTGTAATCGTTAACATTTTCATAACTGTAATTTAATTACACATTTTTCTTAGTAACTGTAACTGATTACAGTTACATTTATTTTGTAATTAAATAACGTAACGCCGTTACATGTAACTACTTACTCCCCAACACTGATTTTAACTCTACCTCCATTTAGAGTCCGGGTGCTACATAATGATTCAATGAAATCATAATCAATAATTGTGTTTTAAACTGATGTGCAAGATATAAAAAGTCTTTTATTAACATCCAGATATCATTCATCAAAAATACTTAATGCTTCAAAACCATAACAGCGGTTACTACCAATTTAATGAGTGCAATAATTACGTTTTGTCAAAAGAAAAAAAAAGAGAGAGCAAAGTTCAGCACCATAAAGTGAAAGATGAGGGGGTTTTATCACAGTGACTTGTACTTTTGAATACGGCTGGATATAGAGTCTCGTTACAGCACCAGAAGCGATCAAATAAAATTAAACACAATCAACAGAAATGGGTCAGGCATGTGGATCACTCATGATTTGGTAGGCTGGTTCATCAGGTTCAGGTTGTTAGATGCACGCTTCCCAGAGTTCAGTGGGGTTTGGACGGCGCTGTTCGATGCTTTGGGTTTGGGAATCCTGGTGGGTCCAGGACGCCGGAATGATTCCAGAGGCATCTGTCAGG